GACCCAATCCTAACTGGCAAGGCCAGACAGGGGCAGTGCAGGGCTCCAAGGCCCCCTGTTTGAGGTCCAAACTGGCTCTCAGACCAGCCCTGCACCCCTTACCTGGCCCATGGGACCAAAATAGTGAGCATCACTGGCCTAAAGGAATTGGAGAGAGATATTCAGTACTTTTAGTATGAAGTCAGTCAGAAGGCAGTGTGTGTGTGTGTGTGTGTGTGTGTGCGTGTGTGCGTGTGTGCGCGTGCGCGCGCACACACCCCATTTCATGGCCCATACTGAGCTCTCGTGCTACTGCTGCCAGACTGCTACCCATACCAAAACCAATTAATTTAAAGGTAGCCTGGGCATCCCTGCAGCCACAAAATTAACCAAGGTATGGGCATACCTTATGCAAGGAAGAAATCTGACTGCCCTGTACTGTAAAATTCTTCAGACCAGGAACTTACCACAAATTCCCGCTTGAGAACATAATGGTACACACACACTTGTATATCTACTCTGTCTTCTAACTAAAGGAATTGGAATAGGATTGGGAATCTGGGACTCCCAATTTAAATCTGTATGCCATTTACTGTTGCGTGACTTTGAAGTCATTTAACAACTCTGCATCATTTCCCCCAGCTGTAAAGACAATGATATCGTCCCCTTGTCCAGTGTCAGTTAATATTTATGCAGCTCTTAGAACAGCTTATATCTTCAAAAAGTGCTAAATATTAAATATACTGAAATAATCAAGTTCATGTAGTTACAATCATGACATCAGCATAACATCAACTAAGGACATCTTTTTCCAAAACTTCAGTTTCCAAAACAACTCAACATTAGTCTATAAAAGTGTATGAAATTCAGGAGGTGTATAAAATTAGCAACTTCTTACTCGTATACCTATTTCAGATGCGCATTTAGAGCTATATCTTATTGGTTCCCTGACAATATGTTTTTCCTGTTTTGGGTAGCTAGTTTTAGTCAATTAAGCTGGATTTCCTGATTTATGAGTCAGATTTATTTTAACCAATAGCTATAGACACCCGCTAAAGCTTCTGTGCTGAAAAGAAAATCAGCTTACTAAAAAGCATAAAATAAGAAAGTAAATTTTATGTATAAAAACACACATACTGTGTTTCAACAGAGACAGAAACACTTTACAGATTTCCAGGGACAGGAGTGTTGTGGAGAAATATATGCGAAGCCAGGACAAATACAAAAGGAGTGATCTTATTTTTTGTTAACCCAAAAATATCAAAATTGTTATTACAGCAGAATGGCAGTAAATTAAAGAATCTTTGAACAGCAACTTCCTATCAGCTAAAATCCAGGCATGTGTAGCGAAATATAAACTTTCCTGTGAATATTGGAGCATATTTAGACTACCTGGAAATGAAATGCATAAAAATGCTAGCAAATGAAACAAAAAAACCCCAAAACAAACCTCAAACCTAATGAACTGTCAGGAATTTTCATTATAAATTATTCCAAAATTGTATTTGTGTAATACTCCACACCCTAAAACATCCACAGCTGGACAAGTTTATAAACATAGTATTTTTCTTATGCATGCCATACAGTCTTTCCTGTATAGCATCTAGTAGAAATGCTGAGGCAAGCAGACTGATGTTAGTTTGATTTGCCTAACATGCTCGGAAAGGTAGCCACAGGAGGAATGAGTTGAGCTAAGAATGACAGTTATGCTGGGATGAGTGCAGCCAGAGTACAGTTGCCCAGGAAACAGAAGACAGACCAGATTAGAGCAGTTCTGAGAGCTGCTATTGTGTAATGTTTGTGTCCATGGGGATAATGGGAAATAGCCAGACTAGCTTGGCTAGATACCTCTGGGGTGACTGTTTGTGCCAATGGAAATGCTGACTGCGATAGATACAAACATTCTCCGTTATGTCAGAATCATTCTGAGTGTTAATCCTGAAACAACTTGTAAACTGGAAAGTGTTTGTATCTGAAATGTAATAATTGGTATGCCTGAAAAATTCATTGATTAAGACTGGTTTGACCCTTTATTACACTTAGGTTAAGCAGTCAAAAAGCCCAAGGCTGAATCAATTCAGTCTTTGCAGGTTAGTTTAATCTGCATAGACTGAATCAATAAGCAAGTGAACAGACATTCACTTTTGATTCCAGAAATGCAGCCACTTGCCTGCAGTGGGCCAGGCCAAAACCTGGGGGGGGCAGGTGTTGGCTAGAGCACGATTCCCTGATTGGCTGGACCAGACACCTTGGGCCAAGGCTGGCCCGCCTGCCCACCCTGGGGGGAGGAGGAGTTTACAGGAGAGATGCAAAGCATCCTGGGGTGCTGGGGGACTGAGTTAACTTGAATCTGGAGGGGATCTGGGACAGAAGTTCAATAAACCAATTTCATTTTTATTATCTTAAACTTGTTTTGGCCATTTTGAAAGTGGATTTGGCCATTTGAAAGTGTTGCACTGAACTCCTGTTGTGTTCCAGATTTGTTTCTGATCACTTATACTGGTTTATGTATTATTTATTTCTGTCCCTAGCCCTACTGACCAGTGCCAAGTATGTAAGGCTTTGTACACTCCTTTTGCAAGTTATCCAGTTTTGCTTATAAACAAAAAGCACATCTCAAAAATAGCATCAGTAAATTTTAACAATGAGATTGGATGACATAAAGAACATTTCAAAACACTGGCACATTTCTGAAGGATGCAGTACTGGTAATTGTAAGGTTAGATGGGGAGCCTACAGAATTTTAGGAGTAAGTGAGGTTTAAATTGCAAAGCTGCTTTAAAACATGCAACAGAATTGGAATTGTATTCTGAAAAGTAACAACATGATTGTGTGGCTTCTTGCCCCAGTAACCTCTAATTGAAAACGCTAATTTGACAGTTAACTGACAGCCTCGTAACTCAACCTTGGGTCTGCAGTTCAAGCTGGGTCCTCTCTCACAATAAGGATTCTGCCCCCAGGTACACCGGAGCAGCACCACTGCCTTCAGAGAGAACACATCTGTAAAACATGTCTGTTGATGATGCACAAAGACGAATAAAACCTAGCTCAATCCTTCTTAGCTGTTCTGGGTCAGCAGGGTTAATAAGAGCAGTAAGAGACTTACTCGAGGCACTAGTCTATGGCTATGGATATCCAACAGTGGAACAGATACTATTTTTAAGTATAAGGCAGAATAGTTCATCTACTGTCACATTTCTGGCTACCCCATTTCATGGCCCACACTGAGCTCTCGTGCTACTGCTGCCAGACTGCTACCCATACCAAAACCAATTAATTTAAAAGGTAGCCTGGGCATCCCTGCAGCCACAAAATTAACCAAGGTATGGGCATACCTTATGCAAGGAAGAAATCTGACTGCCCTGTACTGTAAAATTCTTCAGACCAGGAACTTACCACAAATTCCCACTTGAGAACATAATGGTAAATGATGCCTGTACCGCACCGACTGCACCGGGTGGGCAAAGACTGCTCTTGGCAAACAACAAAGAAGGAACCATTTATCAACATTTGGATTGAGTTGCAGACTGCTAATGAGAACTTAGAAAAAAGTGTCCTTTTATTTGTAAAAGCTTTATTAAGTCTTATTAGAAAAGCTAAGTTTCCAAGGCCAGAATTAATGAGGGTTTTGCTTGGTACAAATCTGTCTCTCTTACTAAATATTAAAAGTTCAAACTTCAGATAATTCCTACCATCTTGGGCATGTGGGATTTCCTTTTCTCCTTTTATAGCTTAAGGCACATCATCACCGCTTTACTTTTAAATTAACATACTTGACCTGCTGGTTCTAAAAAACAAATAGGAAAAGAAATGCGGAGTGATAAAACCCAAATTAAGCTACTCTTTTTATTTAAACACCACAGCTTTTCCAAATTATAGTTTCTTACAGTAGACAGAACACAGAATAATCAAGCCACCAGTGATCTGAGCTCAGTAAGTTTGTGCTATCAAAATGGAATAAAATCTACATTCTCTAAGAAGGAGGTAATGACCCTATATTCCCTCTTCCAAAAGCTGGTATTCTGGAAAAAGACCAACAGCTTCATTCAGTGATGGAAGGTCTATTGCTACTTGCAGTATTGCTTAGCATGAAGCACTATCTGTGAGGAACACCATGGACATTAAACAACTTGTTGCATTCTTATTTCTATAGTGTTGGTATGCTTGTAAGTGAATGTTCCATCACAATTTGGGCATCAGATGCGAGAACTTCTTAAGATGAATGCGATGGAGATGACAATTTTATGTTTATAAATGCAAATATATATTTTGGACAACATGCTGGTTTAAAACAGGAATTCTACATGATGCCAAGGAGAACTTCCACTTAATGATATAGCCAGTTATTTGGAACATTTCTGACCCTTCTTTCAAAAT